TATTTGCTATTGACTGTTCAAATGCGGAGTTTTGTGCATCGTGTGTGTGTGTGTGCGCGCGAGAGTGAGAGAGAGCGAGCGAGAGAGCGAGCGAGAGGGTCACATCACAGTCGAGTCAGCTGTCTTAACTGCGGCTTGTGTACTGCATCATTACTGTGTCTGTTACCCTTTCGGGCTTGAACTGATGGTAAAACTAATGACATTATTTACTGTCTTTACATTTATTTTGAAAGATGAAGCTAGCGATTATGGTAAGCGGCGTTACATTTCCGACAAGTGCTTGCGGTGTTCGGCCAATCACAATGCACTGGGTCAGCTGGCCAATCAGAGCAGACTGCGCTTGTCGGAAGGAGGGACTTTGTAGAAAAGGAAGCGTTTGAGAGAGGCGGGCCATAGAGGACCTACAATAATGTACAGTATTTGAAAAATAATGTGTTTTTTGAACATTAAAGCATGTCAACATATTCTGTTACACCAAATAATGATCTTTAAAAAAAGCATCATATGACCCCTTTAATGCTGTCTAACTATAGTTAAGTGTTCATTTTTAGTGCAGTATGTGGCTTCTGTATTTATGTCATGTGGAAGTGAAAGCTCATAAAAGAAACCTATTTAATTCCATGTTATATGCAGACTACAACCATCCTCATCTCAACTGCATTTTAGCAATTATTGCAAAACAACCTCTTTTAACCAGTATTCCTTCATTTATTTGAATTAATAAATTAAGTACTTATTTTTAAATTACTAGCAGGCCTAATTATATGGTGACAAGTAATGCCAAAGTAGCCTATTAGTAGCACCAATATTTTAGGGGGCCTTGGGCCTATTACGATAAAAAATGAATTGTTTTGATATATTTTAAAATGTAATTGATTTATTAATGTGATGGTAAAGCCGAATTTTTAGCAGCCATTACTCCTGGCTTGAGTATGTATCATGTGTCCAAAATAACGTATTGTCTTTACCTGCAGTACAGAGCCACAATATTCACATTTGTTGAACTTTTTAAATCGCTAACAGGATGTATTTGCAGGTTTGGTTTAAATGAACTGAAGGTGGCGCTTTTTTCTTTCTCCGTGTTAAAAATACCCCATTCTACAGTAGCCTACTCCAGAGTGTGAATGAGTTGTCCGAATGATTCGAACTGAATGATCAGATTGACCAAAAGAACCGAATCGTGTTTCGATCATTCTAAATAGTCGATTAAAAATATACAATATTCTCATATTTCTCAGCTCATTTAATTTATCAGTAAATTTTTTACAGATGTTCATTCATGCGACGGACAACGCAGCTTGCAGGGGCGCCGCTATAGCTTTTTGGGGCCCCAGAAATCGCGTTCCGACCGCCCCTGCCCTTACATCTAATAAACACATAACCTACTGCTTTGAATTAAATATTCACTATAGAATAACTTACTGGCTATTAAAATACGTGCTAGTAATATAAAACAGATACTAGTCAGTTAAAACTTCTTTTGCAACTTGCAAATGTAGTGTGTAGGCAATGCAAAAATGGATGAAAAAATGTGTGCAGCGCACTACAAAAAACACAACAGACTATGAATTAAAAGACAGAAACATTTCCGGAAAAACAATCTACGCGTTTTGCGCATCCTCTCACATCTATCTCGAGCAAGTTTTCATTTTATTAACTCTGTATAGCCAAGTTCAGTAGCTACTCACAATTTACAGTGCATCTCCGCATCGACTCCGTGTCCACTTTAGATCTCCAAACGTATCCTGTTCAAAACAAAGATTTAATCCGCATGAGAATCCTGGAAACTCTTGGTTTTAACGCATCAAACATGCTAAACGCGCATCCATTTCCGCCGTCAAAGTTAGGTGAGAGCGGATGAGACATTCTGAGGCTGCGATACAAGCCCATGCTGTGTAAACGCCAGAGCATGTCAGCATGACAAAAGAAGGGGCTGTCTTAAGACACATCCTCCGCCCACCACTTATCACCTACCAAAAAGTATGAAACATCCACATGCGAGTACGTTTTTTTGTTTCTTATTGTTTTAAATTATGTCAGCTTCTTTCAACATTTAGTTGAAAGAAGTTAATAAAGCAAATATACTCCCTGGAGAGAGATCGGTCATTATTCATTCACATACACTGTTATTTTAATGCATGTTTACTTGCCCAATAACTGATATGCAGAACAATGTTTAAATATTGGCACAGTAATAATTAGCCGTATTGTTAAACTAAAGCAATATAAACATAATATGCTTTAGTATAGCAAGTAAATCCCCCCTCCCCTCCCCTCCCCTCCCTCTCATGGTAATATGTTCCAGATGCCACAATTTCAGTTTACTGATCCAGACACCAAGCCGAGATGCCTGCAGAACATAACAATCACACTTGCAACACTTGCAAAATACAGTACCAAAGATCTCATTGCAGGTGCTCCTCTGTTTTCTTTTTTGGAATCTCTCCAATACTCCCACCACAGTTATTTCATTAATCTTGTGACATGTTTTCAATGGAGGCATGCATCCAATCAGTTTCCCCCCCTCCCCCTTGCAATAGGGAGACTGGTAGCTATACACTAAGTGAATAGTGAACTAGCGTAACCTTACAATATCCTAGTTTTGCTTACAAAACTGGGATCTTATATGCATAATAATAAAAATGTACTATAGCATCATGAATATTTTAATACCACAACAATATTGTTATTTGAGAGAATTTAGTTTGCTCAGAATGGCTGTTAGCCATTTAGTTAGTGCTGTAGCTGTCCTCTGCATAACCAATAACCTGTGATGCATTAAAGCACAGGGGTGTGAAACCCACAACATCCTGCAGAGGTGGAAATAAGCATGCACTGGCGTCATCACATCCTAGAAACATCAGCTGATGACAATCAATCTGACAACATTAACTTCAAGGGTTATATCTAAAGCTGCACACCATTGCTGTTCTTATTGTCATTGCAATAGCAACATGCATCACAAAGGATCCCAATATCCTCAATCAGTGAACAGCACAATCGTCTAAGTGTTTTAGAAGTTTTCTGGACAATTTCTATAACCATCAGCCTCATAATGAATCATATGTCCCATTTGTTGTATCATATGTGCCAACATGAACCTTTACTCAAACATCTGATGATAGGAAACTACTGAGCTTGTTTGAATTTGCTTAAGATACAACAAGGGCGCTTTTCCACTGCGTGGTATGACTCGGTCACACATTTACACACTAATAATGCATCAGCAGCTGGTTTTATCAGCCATAATGCTGCAAATGATATATTATTAAACAATTAATGCCATATGAAGTGCATTTTCATGTCCACATCATATATATATATATATTTTTTTAAATCACAATGTAAATGTAAAATTAATTTCAATTTAAATGTAAATAGATCTGCATACTAAAATTAGCATATCATGTGAAATATATATCTATAGTGTGATTTTGATGCATTTGGCTCATACTAAAGTTTTTATCATGCAACACTCTGCATGATAAACTAGTATGTGGTTTTCAGTTTAAGATGTACAGTGATACATTTAGAAACAATGTCCTCCACAAGTCTGCCCTCACTGTTTAGCATATAATCGACTGCTTTCTCTTCGGCACTGCACTAATGAGCTAAATTCAGATTTCCCGAGGAGCTCTTGTGTTGGTTTATTAAGAAACGAGAGTTTAGTTCCTAGCTCTTGTTCCTTTGACATGAAAGCAATACATCTCCACTTATACTCACTGTTGTTGCTGTAGAAAGTCTTCACTGTTTTCCAAAAAATCTCTCAAGGCAAGAAGTTCCAGATGCCATATTTTCAGAGTTTATTCATCCAGACTACAAAGCCGAGAAGCCTGCAGAACATCTAACAATCACACTTGCAACTCACACTTTTATACAGTTCTTGACCAAAGATTTCATTGCAGGTGCTCCTGTGCTCCTCCTCCTTTTTGGAATCTCCCCAATATTCCCATGCATCAGTTACTTCATTAATCTTTTGGCCTGTTAATCATGGCATGCTTCCAATTAGATTAAGGAGTATATGCAAGTATAATATCTCTAAACATTGAGTAAAAAGTGAACTTACATAACCTCATTCGTACCTGTACATTTGTTTAAACAATTACATGTTATTTATTATTACTAATACAGTTTTTTCTTATATTAGTGTTATATTCCACCTCTACTGTGTAATTCCTATGTACAGTGGGTACGGAAAGTATTCAGACCCCCTTAAAGTTTTCACTCTTTGTTATATTGCAGCCATTTGCTAAAATCATTTAAGTTCATTTTTTTTCCTCATTAATGTACACACAGCACCCCATATTGACAGAAAAACACAGAATTGTTGACATTTTTGCAGATTTATTAAAAAAGAAAAACTGAAATATCACATGGTCCTAAGTATTCAGACCCTTTGCTCAGTATTTAGTAGAAGCACCCTTTTGATCAAATACAGCCATGAGTCTTTTTGGGAAAGAGGCAACAAGTTTTTCACACCTGGATTTAGGGATCCTCTGCCATTCCTCCTTGCAGAGCCTCTCCAGTTCTGTCAGGTTGGATAGTAAACGTTGGTGGACAGCCATTTTTAGGTCTCTCCAGAGATGCTCAATTGGGTTTAAGTCAGGGCTCTGGCTGGGCCCATACTTTCTTCTGCACTGGAAGCTCCTGTCGCCAAGTCAAATTCCTTGTAAACATACTTGGTAATAAAGCTCTTTCTGACTTCTGTCTCTTCTCACAATGTCTTAAAATGTTGTGAATAATAATAAAAGCGTACTATATTGTTTGCGCTGCAGTTGTCCCACCAGAAGCTCCTGGAGGATATCACACTATACAGTACTAGTTCAAACAATAGTTTGCACATAAACGCAGTACATGGCAAAAAAATAAAAAATACAAATAAAAATAAATGCCTACTCAAACCAAAGAAGTGAAATTAGACTATTTCAAATTCCCTATATTGATGCAGACAATAGCCTAAATAAATGTTTTAGCCTACTATTATTGTGAAATTTTATTGAAGTATTATGTGAAAATGAAAGTAATCAATATATAAATTAATATGCTGAATTATGTCAACCCTGGATGTCATAATGGGGAATAATGAACGTATAATAGTCTTTTCATTAGACGTATAATAGTCTTTTCATTAGACAGTGAACCTTTCATTAGACAGCAAACCAGTGAACTTGAAATAATCTAATATTATCAGGAACAAGTAGATAAATTTGACACACATCTCCTCGTATGATGCAGGAACAAGTAGATAAATTTGACACACATCTCCTCGTATGA